GTAGGAAGTTCCTTCTTCATTGGTGAAATTCTTTGTGAATGGTGTGTGTATAAACTAACAATGCTGATAGAGCTAGGAAGATGGTCTTTTGGAGAATTTCCTCAATTTAACTTTCTGTACTCCTAAGTACAGAAAAAAATCTAGCTCTTCACTCACACTAGAAGCTGCCTCTACATCCAAACTTGTGCTTTGAGTCAGTGGAGTTTTAAAATGATGCAGGTGTTGCTCATACCAGAAAAGATTAGTAATAAAATTGATACAAATGTCACCTCTGCCTTCTCTGGCAAACCAATTCACTCCAAAAGAAGTTGTCATTTTTTTAAACCCAAGGGTTTACAAACTGACTCTGCTTATCCTCTGTGCCTGAAATAAGATATATGACATAATAGGAAATAATTGACTGTATAATCAAATAAAAATCTAAACCCTTTTTCACTACTACTGTTCTTTGAATACAGGTGCATTAAAAATAAACAAATTAAAACTACCTTCTGATTCATGTTTTTCTATATAGGGTTCTTCTGGACTGAAGGAAATACTGGATTTATTGGACAAGCATTATAATGAGGTATGGAGAACTGACATAGTGTCTGTAAGTGTGTGTTTATGGCTCAGAAATTGCCACAGTTTTCATCCCTGTGAACCACATCCCAAATTCATCCAAAAGGTAGATTCTCCCCTGTCCCGTTTCTCCACCCCTGCATAGGCTCAGTCTGCACTCCAGTCAGATACCTACTGTGTCATCTATCTTGCTTCTGTGTGACTTACTTTGCATCTTCTATTCACTTCTTTTTTCCTGGTGTAACTCCAAAAGGTGGACCACTTAGCTGTTACCATAAAGCACCAGCTCCCCATTTCTAACCCAAACTGCTGTAAACTGTGGTTGACGTTTCTTCTTTCTTCACCTACTCTCATGATCCTAGGAGTAGAGGAGAAAGACAAGGAGGCATAGTTTTAAAGATCTGCTACCAATCCACAAGAATTGTCATTATATTATTGTCTCACTTATAGAACAGCCTACAGCTACAAGGACTTCATAGAAAAAAAAAAAAAGTTTAAATCACATAGAACAGTGTTCCATGTATAAGTTCTTACCACAGATTTTTCAAATCATTGAAGCCTCATTAGTAGCTGTCATTGTGATAACAAGGTCATGCAAGGTTTCTTAATTGATGCCAAAGCGACCATGTAACTGATCTGAATAGAACATACATTCCATTCAAAGGCTACTGAAGCAGCATTACAGCAGTATTACAGGAGTATTTGCTTGAAACAGAGGTTACTGTGTGATTCATGCCTTAAGTCATACAGGTCAAACCTGGAAGACAGCCATCTCTTAATATGGAAATGTGTAACTATAACATATATATGATGAATTCCAGATATATTTTTAATGTAGCATACCCTGATGAGTTTTTTTGGGTTTTGTTTGTTGTTTGGTTTGTTTGGGTTTTTTAATAGGGATTCCAGAGTGATATTCAGTGATTTCTCTGATTTTTTTTTTATTTAATCCATTCCAAATCAGTGTATCACCTTAGAACATGCATTAGGAATTAAACATAGTTTTATATTCGGTCTTGGACAAGGACATTTTCGTACCTGGAGAACTTAGTTTCTGGTTTTGATCTGCCATTTCATATGTATGGGTTGAAGTTACCTAGATTTTGCTTTTATACCTTTTGTTTTCTTACCAGTTTATTTTTTCTACCAAAGACAGCTTTCAGTCATACCAACCCTATCAATATCATATTTATTGTAACTCAGTCCCCGCCTCTGGACTATTAATCTCTTTTACTCTGCTGGTCCCCTTAAGGTTAATTATGCAGGAGGAAATACAGTGGTGATCTTCAAGAATTGGCAAGCGTCTGTCTCCAAAGATTACATTTCTTATCACTGTTAAGGCTCTAAGAGTTCTTAAGGTGTCTTATATTTCATAATTAACAATATTCTGGAAAAAATGTAAACCAGCTGCTCTGTGTCTATACATTTATCATCTTTTAAATGTTGTACAGATTAACAACTGTCTTATTCCCTCAGCTGTCTAGTTTGAAGACTTTAATGACTGTCATGAGCTATTAACTGTGCAATGAGCAAATGCTGTTTGGGTTTAGATGAGAGAGGAGATAGCTTTCTGATTGAAGAAGCAGGTTTCTGTAGACTTTCTGTAACTACGTGTTCAAGTCTTCCTAGAGTCAATTTAAGCCTCCAACTGGTACAGCAAACACATTAGTTTCTATGCATTTTATGATGGTAATGATATACTTTCCATCAAGGGCAAGAAAAATATATCAAAGACTGACATCGTGTCTGTTTTGCCATTGACTGTTTATTTAGGGACCACTAACTTTCCTTTTCCCCCCACATTATTATATATTATGATGAGTGCTGATTTTGTTCAATGAGTCTTGGAGGTACCAAATAATCTTTAACATTCCAGTATGTAATTTGCAACATGCCTTAATTATTTTCATTTATAAGATGCTATTTCAGTGGTATTCTGAGGTTTCTGAGATTACTTACACTAGAGTAAACAGTGCTGTTGTTTTCCAACAATGAAATGCAAGTTCTGGAGTATCTCACAAGGTTTTCTTTCAGTTGTTTTTTTTAAAAGTATTTTCATTGTGACCACATTTTTGTTGCTATAGAGATTTTAGTTTGTTGGGGATTTTTGCCCTGAAGATACTGGTGTGGATTCTTTGCATTGGTGTTTCTAGGAAACATGAAAAATTGCTATCAAAAATATGGGGGATCAGTGAGAGAGATCTTAAGACCCGACATAATTAATATTTCCTTTGTTTCCCTGTAATTTCACTGTTTCATATGAGATTATTTGCATTTTGGCCAATGTCCGGATGATATAAATGAGTAGTTGCAATTGCACAATGTGTTTATATAATTTATTGCAACCAAGCTTTTTCTGGCTCAATATCAATCACCTTACCATGTAAGGTGGCTGGAATACAAGTCTTTAAAAGCATAATTTACTTGATCCATATATATAGTGAAACAGAACATATAAATACAATTGTATAAATACACTTGCTGATTGCAACAACAAATTGTGCTGAACAGCAAACCAAGATCAGCAGTCTTACTTCAGTGAAGGTGAGGGGAACCTGCTGAGGGTAAGTAGTAACATTGATCCTTAATGGGGTCAGAGACAGTGCTGGAACATTTCTTCCCTTGTTGCTCTTCCTTTGTGCTTCTTCTTGCATATATTATTAATCATATTAATATTTTTTATATTCCTTATTATATGTCTTTTACACTTGCAGCATAAATTAGAAACTTTGTATGTGTCCAATACATGCATTTTTTTTTTCTCTTTGTTATGCCAAGAAACTGGTTCTGCTCTGCTCTGTAGGTTGCATTCCTTCATTGACTGGTAAATGATGCCTTGTGATTTGTGTTTATACACTCTTGGGCCCCTGTTATCTTCCTTTGCCTGGCCTTTCAAGACCTCTACTTGTCATCTTTTTTACTTATCTGTTTTCTGTACATAGATATAAGGTCACTTCGGTCAAACTTGCCTCTAAACATCTTCAGAAAGGGAATGCAGAGAAGTTTAGTCTAAAAGGTTCAACATGTAAAAATAAAACGACAACAAAAAGCAATTGAAACTACATCACAATCTGCTTAGGAAATGTCTCAAAATCTTTATAATTCATAATAATTTTAGATTATTCTTGAATAATGTATTATTACTTTTCTAAGACTATTTTCTTCAGCATATTTTACTTACCTTTTGTTGTAAAGAGCAAATGACCTATAAATACGGAAAAAGCATAAAAGCAGTTATTTGGTCTAATATCCTTTTTTCCTCCATGTATGCAAAGAAATGCACAACTCAGATTTAATCATGACTCACAGTATACTCATAATAACAGACACCTAAATTGTTCTCAATCAAGCAGTAGTCAACTACTTCTCAGCAGTACTCTCATCCTCTTCTTCAGGTATCTGCCTCATGCTTTGGAGCTCATTTTGATAATTAGGGTGGTAACTGTGTTATGAACCCTACACACTGAAGAAGATCCTTTGGGACATTAACATTTATAGAATAAATATTGATTTTATTCAGATTATGTTCACTTACAAACTTCTGCAAATATTAACAGAGTCTAAATACCACTTCTGGTCATCAAGTTTTATCCCATTATAGAGATATGGAAACTGGATCATGGCAAGGAGAGCTGGCTTGCTCCGGCTTCCCAATCAGCCCAGTGGCAGATGTTCTAGGACTTGAATTCCTTGAGTCTCGTGTCATTTTTCAGGGTCATAGGTGTTGTTGTTTTTTCCATTGTCATTAAAAAAAACAAACCACATGTTGTCCTTAGATAGTCTGAGCCTGGCTTTGTTAAGAGAAAACTGTTAGCTTTCTATTTTATTGTATGTCTACCTTGTACAGAAGAGTAAATAGATGCAGTGCCATAATACGTGATCAGGTATCCAGCCTGAACGCCTGGTCCTTATATCTGCCTGTTTTCTTTGAGGAGCAGTGTAAGGAGCCTGTTGATCATATTCATTCCCTCTCCTTCTGTCTCACTAAAGTAGTAGACTTAAATTAGTTCTGTTTTACATATCCTGCTGCTCAAATGTAGAAAGCTTGTGGGTTTTGTCATATAAGTTATTTTTATTGTTCTGACACACTAGAGAAATCTACTGTAATAATGAGCACAAAAATATGTTTTTTACATTGAGTTAAGAAAAAAAAATCACATATTTGCATATCAATATTCAAGATAGACACTTCATTTTATGTTTTTGTTCATCTGCTTATCTGATTGGAGTATGAATGCGTGACAAAGGAACAAAGTTCCTGCAATACTTTACTTAGATGTGCTGCATAGGCATTTAGTATCCCTTTCTAGTAGCAAATTAGGACTTCTGAATTTACTTACTGTTAAATTACATGAAATTATTATGGTAAATAAATTATTACTGTAAATTAATGATGGCATGTTCTGTTCTCTGATCTTTGTGGGGAAATTTCTTCACAGAGTGATACAGAACTACTTGGATTACTTGGGACCCCTGGACCTAAAGGCCAGAAGGGAGACACTGTAAGTTTTTTGGATTAAATCTGGAGAAATTTTAAAGCTCCTATCTAACCTGTCTCTGCCACTCTTAACACAGTATCTTTTATTTGATTTATAATAATTATCTTTGAAGGTATAGATTGTCTATATGACTGGTTCTTTCATCTATGTGTCCAATACTCACCATGACATCCTTTAGGTGCAGCACATGAGCCTTTCTACTCTAATCTATGATAACCAGAAAGGGAAAATGCAGAAAGAATTATGTATTGTTTCTCTAATACTTTCTGAGAAGTCAAATGAGTTGCCCTCCTGGTTAGGGGGAAAAAAAATACAGTATTTTTACTAGTAAATCATGAACCTTTACATCAGATTCTCTGTAGCAAAGGGACTTGCTGTACCAAAAGTACTTATAGTCAGCCTATAAAAGTTATGTGAAGGTCAGACTCTGAATCCACAATATATGACAATAAATTGTTTATAGTCATCTGTGCTGTTTAAACAGTGGAATGAATTTTTGACAATTGGAAGCCTATTAAACTTGAAAGAAAATATACAAAAGCTCTGGGTATGTCAGAGGATTGACTGTTTTTTTCATTGAGAAACCTGCAGATTGCTAAATACAACAGTGATTTATCTTAATTTGGAGACTGTTAATTTGTCCACAGAACAAAGTATAGTTATAGGAGAGATAGAGTTTATTTGCATTTTTTAGAATATAAGAGATTTTAAATATAATTTATTTATTCAAAGGGTCAAAAAGGAGAGTTGGGAAGCACCGGTGCAAAAGGAGAAAAGGTAAATCCTTATTCTGTGCTTATGTGTGATACTAGAACATGACTGAGCATACTGATTATGAATCAAATCTTGAAAAACATACTCAGAATCAAGAAAGATGTAGGAAAAGCTGTCAGTCTCTGAGTGTACTTGTGAGAGTATTTATATATGTAAGTAAATTTCCCTCTTCCAACAGCTCACGAACTCTTTAACTTTAAACACATTCAGACTTCTATTGAATGCCAGTTTAAAATTATGTTTATATGAGCTAATGACCCATGATAGCCTCATAAATTAAATGCCATTCATACTTTTTCAACTTAGAAATGCAATATTCAATATTTATATGAATAATCTGGAATCTTAAAATTATAACATTCATAAATAATCTTCCTAGTTTAATATCTTTCAGTTTAGGCTTAAATTTTCCAGAAAGATTTAAGATGGGAGAATGTACTGGGTAATAGCTGTTTATTATGTTTTTCCAGAAACATGTGATGTACCCGGTTCCTCATCCACTGAATAACTGGCATTATACTATTCAGCTGTTAGGCTTCTAGTTGGTATCTTTTGTCATATACTTGGACATGAACAGATTTCAGACAAGCAGAAACTTTTTTACTCTATCCATATGAGAGATTCATGATTTTGTCTGTTACAAAGCAGTTGTGTTGGAGACGTCAGATTTGTAAACTGCTCAAATGCATCATCATTGTCTTTTTAGTCAGTGTTCCTGACCCTCCCTTGTGCTCCTGCTTGATGTTTTTCCCTTTGTAGTCATGTATTCTCATTAAATCAGTATCATCTCTCAAGTTAACTCATATGGTCCACATATTTGATATAGATTAGGAAAAACAACACCTCCAAAACTTTCTCAAGATCAGGCATATAAAAGCCAGGCATATAAACTATTTACCATTTGAAATAAATTTATGTTCACCTCTTCCCTATGTTTCCATAGGGAGAACCTTCTGAAAAAGGGGACAAGGGAGATCCAGTAAGTAAAGCTACATGTTGACCTGATGTAAAGAATTTCCATTTGATATGATTTTCATATTGTATTCATGCCGTAATTCTTTTGTTTGTACACTTCTATTAGATTCAGTGACTTTGTAGCTATGATAGCATGCTTAATTTCTCCTTCTTACATGAGCATCAAGTTCACACAGGTTATAAATAAAAAACAGAGATGCTCTGTTTTTAACCATTTCTGCAGTTGGGTACAGCCCATCAACTGCATTTAAAGGGCATGGGTTTTTTTTTTGTTCTCTGAAGGTTCTTTCTTCCTTTCAGTTATTTCACAGAATTATATGTGGTCTGAACTGTATTATTTTTATTGTTTTACCAGTTTTCAGTGTGGTTTTTAACATCTGGCAGTTTTCTTATAGCCATATTTTGTGTCTGTAATTTTTTGTTATTTTGGGGGATATTTTCAGAACACTAAGTTTTTGAGTCTGTTCACATGCATTGCTTATTTTTAATTAACTATTGTCCTCTTTTGTGACATTTGACAAAAGCTAGTTAAGTTGTTTAATATACAACTGAAGGTTGCTCAGTTACTTGTGATTAACATAGTGTAATAACCAAAATAAGGCATACTATAATAATATGTGGTTTTGGAGATGAATAGTATGTCACTAGTAGTGATTTAGTTGTGACAAAGAGGCTTTAGAATGGAGAAGCTCTTAATGAAATATCATGTTTTCAAGTGATTTTTCTTTAAAATGCTATGGAAACCAGCAAAGACAATTAGTTTCAAAGAGGAAAGCTTTTAAGTGTTTCCACAAGGAATCAGAAAATCTTTCATGCTTTCTCAGTATTTGTTCAGTTTGCAAACTATATTATAGTATTTTAAGATGGCAAATTAAACTCTTCTTTGATCCTAGTTAAAGTTTTAACTTCTTATGGTTGTACCTGCTGTTTTCAGGGAGAAATTGGAATGGAGGGATCAAAAGGAAATAAGGTATTTTTTTTTACTTTACACATTGCATACATCACTGGTGTACGTAGGTGGTACTGGGAGAGATAACAGTAAATTTGGATATTTTTTTTCTCATACCATATCAATAGGGTGAAACAGGAGACCCTGGACCACCTGGTCTTATGGGAAATCCAGGATTAAAGGTACGTGAAACGTATTATTGTGGTATTAGGAGCCATTACATTATACAATAGAATTCTGAATGTCATCAGCCCTTTAGCTAGTATGAATGAAAAGAAGGTGCAAATAATTTCTATCAAAAGTTTTTTGCATGGATCTTGGCTATTTGACTTTTAGTTCATAAAATTCTTGTTGATCTCTGTTTCACTCAGCAAGGAATATTCATGCAAAGCACAAGTGTTATTTGGTTACTCAAGAATATGAGCACCCATTTTGCAGGTATAAATCCCCTAACAACTGGGTGTATGCTCTTCGTCCATCTTTTATCCATCAATGAGAAAAAGAATAACCCTGCCAGTACATTACCAGTTCCTGTGTTTAATCCCATGAGACTGCATGTAATGTTAAAGTAGTCATTGCCTGGCTTTGAAGAAAGTAACTGAAGCACCATTTGTTCTTGTGTATCTTTCATGATACCCTGATTAAGAGAGAGAAAACAAACTCTCTACGTCTTACTCCATATAGAAGAAAACAATTAATGTCTGATGTTTTAATTTATTTATATATAAGAATGCTTTACACTGAGTTTAAAACAGGTTTATTGTCTTTTACCTCAAGTGTGTGCTATATATCATTTCACAGGGACTACAAGGACCTCCAGGACCTGTTGGACCCAGAGGACCACCAGGAGAAGTTGTATGTATTGTGTGATTTCACCAAGCTGTAAGAGTGGTGTGGGAACCATTTAGCCAGTGAAGCAGTACCACCAAAGTTACAGGTGCTCCTTCTCTGGGTGGCACTACAGCAACAAGCCACCAAAGCACAGTAGTATGGGATGCCTCAAGATAGAGTTCTGCTGTTTGCTTTTGTTCTTTTTGTCCTTATATTACAATCTGTACAAGTAATAAGGATGATAATATGAATTTGCACAGATGCTGAATGCTACAATAATCACTTATCTCATGAGAATAAGTTAAATTTGAAAGAATCTCTAGCAAAGTTTTAATAATGTTGTATTGTGAGCTGGAAAGAACTGTGTGTATGAGTGAAATGTGAAGAAACAGAAAATAACAGTATCCCAAGGATTTAAACACGTCCTTCCTTGTTTCTGTCTATGGTTTTAGAACCACAGAATCATAGAATTGTTAAGGTTGGAAGGGACCTTAAAGATCATCAGGTTCCAACCTGCCTGCTATGAGCAGAGAACCCTACCACTAGACCAGGCTGCACAAGCCTCATCCAGCCTGGCCTGAAAAACCTCCAGGGAGGGGGCTTCCACAACCTCCCAGGCAACCCATTCCAGTGCATTACCACTCTCATCTTGCTGATGTCTAACCTAAATCTCCCCTCTTTCAGTTTAAAACCATTACCCCTTGTCCTACCACTACCCTCTCTGGTGAAAACCCCCTTCCCAGCTTTCCTCGAGGCCCCTTCAGGTACTGGAAGGTGCTGTAAGGTCTCCCCGGAACCTTCTCTTTTCCAGGCTGAACAGCCCCAACTCTTTCAGCCTGTCTTCATAGCAGAGTTGCTCCAGGCCTTTGATCATCTTAGTGGCCCTTCTCTGCAGCTGCACCCACCAGCTCCCACAGGCCTCATGGATGAACCCCATCAGGTCCCACAGACTTGTGCACCTTCAGGTTCTTTAGACAGCCACAAACCAGTTGGGGGTGCTTCATTCTCCCAGTCCCTGCTTTCTGTTCAGAGCTGTTTTACTTCCTGTTAAAGGGGTAAAGATCAAGAAGTTTAACAGAATAAACAATCGTGTATTTTGTTAGCATTAGGTCAGATTTATGAGTAAAAGTCATATTCAGAGGAAGACATAATTCTGTTAAAACTAGGGACAATATTAACATCTTTAGCCAGAATAAAAGTATTGGTTGGAAAGTATTTAATAGAAATCCTTTGTTTAAATTATTGTTCAATAGATTAAATTACTGAAAATGTTCTGCAGAAACTAGAATGAAAGATTAGTCTTATGATTGTCAGTTCATTTTCCAATTTAATTGTGCAGTGGATTACTGACAGTCATAAAGTGTCTAAAGCCACTAAGGCAAATGATAGGTCTGTGTTTGTGTTTCCATGTGAGAATTTCAAAACCTGAACTGTGAACTCTCAAGCAGAAACCTGCTGCTTGTTAGATGCAACTGTAAGGACTGCTTCTCAATTTTGATAGTACCTGGCCTAAACAGCAGTGGCACATCCCAGGGTCTCCAGTTAATAGAGACATGAGATAGGCTCACCAGTTTGGAAGCTGATCACCTGTTTTGCTTCTGCACATAGACTATTTGGATGGCAAGAACTGAGGGGTGCAGTCACCCCAAAGAAAGGTTCCTGAAAGGAAAGAGATGTTGTCTCAAGGAAGAAGGGCAAGATCTGGGCTGGGGAAAAGGTCCTGGAAATGGGGGAAAGTTGTGGAGATCAGGAATATGCATAGAAAAAAATTTCTAGGACCTTGACCACTAACACCTGGGACTGGTAACTATGAACAGCTGCACAACACAAAACAAGAAAACTTGCTGCCCAATCATCTTGGACAAACAACAATCTCCCTGCTGGAGAGGGAAGTCAGAATTACGTTCATTGGAGCAATGCTAACAGGGGAACAAGTGCAATAATCAAGATGGATAAAAGCTCTTATCTCACTGGTTCTTGAATAAACCACAGTATCCAGATCCACTAGAGGCTCTTAGATGCTGTCTAAAGCAGGACACAGAAGATTTACTGAACCTCGAGATCATGGGCTGTTGAGGGAGGCCCTCCAGGATGAGTCAGGATGATGGGACACCTCACCAGAAATGCCTGTAACCTTTATGCCTGTGGGCGCAAAACTGGTGGCTCTAGATTGTCGAGATAGTGCGGCAGTTTCAGCAGAGATTTGATGTTCCCGTAGTTCTTACGTTTTGGGTTCCCCACACTCAGCTCTGCCAACTGGTTAGGGATTCTCAAGGTGATGGAAACCTCCTTCATGGGGGTTTTCATATGCCTTTAGTAAACCTTGTGCTGCTGGGTCTGCTGGCCTGTCAGGATCTATCAAACTGGCTGGAACTTCCCCTGAGATCCAGCATGCCTGTAACCCTTGTGCCTCTGGGCAGAAAGAGCTTGGGTGAAACTTCAATCCAGCCTGAATATCAAAGGAAACAAATTATTAGACAATGTTATATTACACTCAAAAGTTCTCTGGGCTTTTGGGTTGACACCTTAACATAGCAGAAGAGGTGACTGGCTGTCTCCCTTCCAAATTATGGCGCAATCCTTTTTTAGAGTTCCAGGCTACTATATTCTGCCTAATCCCCCATGTAAACTAAAATTAGGTTTTGGTACACAACAGGGTTGCTGTCACATAACAAGTAACACCTATCCCGTCTCTCTGGTTCTCCTCCCTCCCTTTATAAACTATATAAGGTTTTTTATGTCCTATTTTGGAGGTTTGAGAGGTTATGTCTAAGAAGAGATGGAGAGCTTGGCTTTAGCATATTAATTAAGCTATTCACCTGAAAAGACCTGGAATTTTGATCTTTGCTCTGTGATTTGTTTTGGTTTTTATCTTATTTCTTTGAAAAGAAGCATCTAGGAGCTGGTGTTGCTGTCTTGGGCCTTTCCACATTAGGTCTGAGACCACTTTGTGGAAGTGAACTCTGAATTTGAATAGACTTTTAAGAAATATACTTTGATAATATTAAAATACAGTTCTCAGTGGTGCACAAATGTCAGATTTTTTATTGTTGACCTGTTAAAAGTCTTGGGGATGTAAACAAAGTGACACCTGGAGTACAACGTTTTCAACTCCTGGCAGGGAAAAAAAAATCATATTAAAAGCTGTGGGTAGTCATTTTGTACTGTGTTACTTATTGACCATGTCTTTATACCTTACTTTCCTTCTCAGCTCAGGCACACATTTTACCTCTCTTCTGTAGCAATAGTTTGTAAGCCTTTTCTGCTGTGCTTCTTATATTAAGATTACAAATCACTGCATTTCTGTTTTGCTTGTGTCATCATCATCCTGCCTGAATTCATCATTGCTTCTTTTAAAAATGCTGCTCTGCTGGGTCTTTGATCAAGTGACAGATAAATGCAATATATATTATATGTAGATCCTAGATATAGATGAACCTGAAGACTCATATTTTTACATACAATTCTAGTATATATATAAAAAATTAAACTTATTCTAGACAACTGTATATAGCTGCAGGTTTGTTGGGTTTTTATCTTCTATAGATAAAACATCATGGATTGACAATTGTAATAAATCATAAATCATATTATGCAGCCTTTTGAAACTGATGAAATATTAAAAATGGTTTTACTGTCACTTAAGTGATTGAAAACTCCTACAGCAAGTAAGACTTGTTTATCTTCTTTCCAAAGGAAAAATTTCTTAGTTTCATAGAAACTTATTTTCTATTCCGGATTAAGTATCATACTTATATTTTACTGTTCAGTTTAGAAAAATTTACCATTTAGTGTAGAAATTACTGGTATTCTTAATGAAGGGCTTGATGCTATAGTTGGTTGAATAGCATGGAAGGGTTATGGAAAAAGTTTTCTGTTTGTTACAGTGTAGTAAGAGAGCACAATCTAACCTTCCCTGTTATTTAAAAAAGCTTCTGTTGTTTTTTTTTGTTGGTTTTTTTTTTTTAAATTCTGTTTTGTTTCTGTGTATATATAGCTAATTCTTAAAGAAAAGGGCAAGGGAAAATGCTGAAGTTAGTATTAAAGTGGGAGAGATTAGAAGATTTAGGCAAAATAAAAGATAGCATTTATTTGTTCTGCTGAAAATATTTGCTATCCATTAAGTATCTAAAACATTCTAAAGAAATTGGGTGGATTAAGTAATGTGCAGAAATTCATTGAGGCTTTTATGATGCAAATATGAGTAATTAACTAGTGTAGAAAATCATGCAACCCTTCATAGGCACAAAAGATGAAACACTTACTTAAAACTCAATTTTGTACCTGCTACTAGTGCCTTCCTTGAAAAATGATTGATTTTCAAGACTTGGAATTATTTTGAAGTGGAAGAAATAAATGTATCAGTCTGCCATTCTGCCATGCTAGGATCCAGAAAATAACCATGAAAATTACATTTCAACTTAAAGAAAAATTATTCATATGTTTGATTAAAGGAGCATTCATTAACTTGTAGTCTTTAACATTTTGGATCAACAGTAATGTGTAAACTCATTTTAATCTGCAATTTTAGATAATTTTTAAGGAAATAGCTATAAAAATGTGCAGTTATATTTTTATTAATTCCAGGGTTTACCAGGAGAGCATGGGGTACCAGGATACCCAGGAATTAAAGGAGACAAGGTAAATTTTAAGTGATTTAATTAAGCTTGGTATGTTAAAGAATATTAGACTGTCAATTCTGAATAAACCTTTTATCCTTCTGTAATGCATCTGTGTGGCTGCTTTATGAACTGATTTTAAAATGTACAAGCAGCAAGCCCTGTCTGCTCCTCAGAGATGCTGCAGGCCAATATGGCAATCCAATTACTCTTTAGATTTATAATTTAAGTAATATTTCAAGGAGGTTGCATTGGGCTGTTATATTAAAACTGTGCAGTGCAAAAATATCAGCTAAGGTCCTGACTACAGAACAGCCTTTTCAGTACAGTGTTCTACTCAGATTAATGTGTAAAATCCTTCAGTCAGACATATTCATCTTGGCAGTGCACTGGAGCAGCTGTACCACCTCAAATGTGAGCCAAGGCTGGGATCATAGGGTCATAGCATCATGGAAGGTTTTGTGTTGGAAGGGACCTCAAAGATCACCTAGATCCAACCCCCCTCCCTGGGCAAGGACACCTCCCACTAGACCAGGTTGCTCAAAGCCCCATCCAACCTGCCCTTGAACACTTCCAGGGAGGAGGCAGCCACAGCTTCCCTGGGAAACCTGTTCCAGTGTCTCACCACCCTCATAGTGAAGAATGTCATCCTAATGTCTAATGTAAATCTACCCTCTTCCAGTTTTAAGCCATTACCCCTTGTCCTATTGCTATATGCCCTTGTAAATGTCCCTACCCAGCTTTCCTGCAGGCCCCAAGGGATCTCTTTATGGCATTGTATTTTGCTGTGTAGAAAACCCTTAGTTAGAATTCAGCTACATCAGCAAGAGTTAAAAATGGTATGTGTTTATATATTGAATGTAAAGAAGGGGAGTAAAGAGGATATACAAGCATATACTGTAAGATATGTGATGTGTCATAGTATTTATAGATTGTGGAGTAGAAAAGAAACTGATAAAATTAATTAATAGTTTGAAGAAGTGACATGATTAAAAGGCAGGAGAAAGAAAATAACCATGGAACAGTAACAGTAATATACTTGTCTTTTTTTCCTCTATTCCTTATGAAACTCCTGGCAATTTCTAGGACAATCTTGATAATGCTTAGGGGTTTTTTTCATAAGAGAAAATTCTCGCATTTCAATTAATAATTCAAATTTATCTTGTAGGGGGACCCAGGTGGGATTATGGGACCACCAGGACATCCAGGTCCAAAAGGTGACGTGGGGCCCCCTGGACCAAGTCTGCCTGGAACACCAGTAAGCCCATAAATCTGAAAAGGCTTTTATTATTTTATTTCTTGTGGGGAACTGTGCAATTGTTCAATGAAAGACATCAGTATAAGTATTTTTCAGATGTAATTTCAAAGTTCAAATATATGTCATAGTGGAATTATAAGTGCATAAAACTATAGTCTAGAATTCTGTATTGTTAGTGCAGGGCTCACAAATAATCATAGTGACAGTGCTATTAAAAAGGAAGACATTTATAAATCTGTCACAGTTTATTTATAAAGACTAACTAATTTTGGAAATGAAGTTCAGCTATTTCCTTTGATTTCAAAACATAATTTGTTTTGGGGGCTTTTTTTGTTTGTTTTTTAGGGTCCCACTGGTATGCCAGGAAACCCAGGTCCACGGGGACCAAAGGTATAAAAAAAATACTGTTTCTAAAAAAAAACCCAAAAAAACCAACACAAAAAACAGGATAATTGGGTAGTTTATATTTTCAGACATATTGTAACTGAAAACTTTATATTCTTCTCAGGGAGAAAGAGGACTACCCGGTGTACAAGGAGCACCTGGGGACATGGGGCCCCCTGGAATAGGCATTCAGGGATCACCAGTAAGTATAGTGACACTCAGAATTTGAGCTTCTCACTCTGCATCACTGAGAAACTGCAACAAGTAAACAAAGGATAGTAAAAAGTCATTACATTAACTTCCTTCTGACTTGACTCACAACTCAACATCTTTTCCCTTTATCCAGAGCCCCAAAGACATAGTGATAAGTAAGAAAATGGAAGCCTTGGAGAACTGAGAGGGTCAATGGCTACTGTACAGATGTGCTTCCTAGTAATGATGTTGAGACATCTTCATACTGTGCTGTTTATAAGCAACAATTGTTTACACTTGTCAGCAAAATCCATCCTGAGTGCTGGTGCAAGAGAAGAAGCATATTCAACACTGTAGATTATGACATTTTGAAAGTTATGCTGGTACTGGAAGAGGTAAAGACACATGGAAGAAAAGTGGAAGGCTCTGCATCAGCTCCCAGATTTTGAATTTGTGATGTCTGTTAATTGCAAGCTTAAGTGTACTGCCTGTAAATGAGAACTTGACAGTGCCAGGAACTATGCCAGAGAATAGTAAAATTCTGATTTTGGACAGCTTTCCTCATGCATCTCTGTGCAGTTTAAATTCAACATGAAGCACATTGATGCAGTGCATCTAGAGCTTTCATACTAAAAAGCTGTTGTAATTAAGTGTTTCTGCTATTCCACTTGTTTCCCAGGTTTCTTCCTTTCTATTGCCCTTAATGAAATCCATCTGCAGTGTTTTCAGGCTGTTCAGTAAAAAAAATGATGGTATTGATGGTACATGCTATTACATGAGATCTGTTGTGGTGAGTAGGGCAACCTCTCTGCAGCCCAGACCAGTACAGTTGGCTGATACATTTCAGCTTATCAACACCACTCAGAGAGAAAATGTTTGAGACAGGTTACTAGAGACTCACATTGAGATCTTAATCTAAGATAACAATCCTTAAAAATAATTTCTTCAGTTAAAATATTTTCAAATCTGAAATCTATTGCTAAATCATCTATTTGCTTTTATTCAACTGAATATCAGCTTTTCTTATGAATCTGCTAGTTAAATAGCAGGTTTCATCACAGAGCACTATTCTTTGGAATTCCTTGCACTTAAAAATGAGTCTCAGCAAATTCTTGAATTCTTTAATTTTGGCAAAATTAGATTTGGATTTAAAGCCAAACCATAGAGCAAGTATTTCTTGCAAGGCAAACTGCACCGATATCCCACATTCAGCGTTTTTTGTGTTAAGGTCCCTTATCCCAAAAAGTATAACTACTGATGATTCAGAGTTTTCTTGCAGGGTCCTATAGGTCCAGCTGGATCAACAGGTGTGCAGGTAGGATATAAGTTTTCTGTTTATTATAAAAACCATTAATTTAGTTTTACAAAGTTTACAGTAAAAGAAAATATTCTTAAGTGACCTTTCCTGCTCTTAGGGCCCTAGGGGACCCCCAGGATTGCCAGGAACTCCAGGTGCCCCTGGTATTAATGTAAGTGACAGTTCTCTACGTATGCAACAAAAAGTAATGTGTCCCTTGTCAATGATTTAAGGCCACCAAATTTTACATCTGTTTCTAGGGCACTCCAGGAAGAGATGGAAAGCCAGGACTACCAGGTCCTCCAGGTGATCCTGTACGTAAACGTAGAAAGCTTGTACATTTGCTTTGGTTCAAATATTTTATATTTAAAGAAGATGAGATAAGCTAGCAAGCCTAGAAGGTCCAGATGATTCAATTAATTTGACTTCTTAATTATTATATCCTTTGCTGGTTTTTTGTGTTGTTGGTTTTGGTTTGTTGGTTTTGGGTTTTTTTAAACTTGATTATATTGCAGTACAAATTACGTTTATGTTAACAGGTACAGGATAAAAACTCTGTTTTCAGGTGTTACAATTCTTATACTAGAGTTTCTGCCAAGCTATAACTTGGCATAGTGTTCCTCAGTCTCAGAAGCAGTCCTGTATAATTGAAATTTTCAGGAGCATACTTTGATTATTCCTGTTAAAAGTTCAAAGAAAAAGTTTGGGGATTCCAAAGCTAATTTTATTATGCCAGAGAAATAAGACATTATTTTTAAATGAAATTCTGAGAACTGTTAGTCTCTAATGTGATGAATTCCCTATAGCAGTAATGAAAAGTTAAGTATCTGGGTTTGAAAGCAAAAGCTCTAAATAAATTCCGACCCATTACCACACTCTAGGCGTTACCATCTCCTCTTGGGTTTGCAGCAATGTTTTGTATTTAACAGTGCTAAAGCTTTACAGGTTTTGTGAAGTCCAGCACTGCAAGATGCGAAAAAACCTGTGTGTGCCTCAGACCAAACTGCACCCTTAAAGATAACTGAGTATTTTACATGGGAGTCAGGAGAGCCCAATGTGCATATCTGCAAAATTTGCAGAAAGGCAAAACTTCAGTTGTTATTTCTGCTTCTATCTGGAGCCCCAGCGACTACCTCAGAACTTTTAAAAAACCAAATTTATCTTTAAAAAAAAATGCTTACAGAGACTTTTCTGACAGCACAAGAAGCTTTCTGAATTTCCTGAGCAATTGTTAGAAAGTATGTAATCGTGTTGGAAGAGACAAAAACGAACAAACAAACAAATTGTTAAGCTCACCTGTGATCCTGTTAGTTTAAGAGAATTTTGTATTCCCAAAGGATTTTATTTAAAGGCAGTTTTTAAAATAAGTGAGATGCAGTTATTGTAGTGTTTATTTAAGACACATCAAAACAAAGGAAATACAAATTAAAAACCCAACATTTTATCTGTGTTCTGTCCTTTAGCAAAATCTCTGCTCCTTGTCAAGGCATGAATTTGGCCTTTTTTTCTGAGTGAGTATCTCAGTGGTCTCAGTCTGTTCATCTCTTAAACTAGCAATTCTTCACATACCTGACCATCATAGAGATTTCTCAGATCCAGAGACTTCCTTCATGTCTTACTACTGAGTTCCATCTCAAAGTGTCCAGCAATGCAAATCTAAGACAGAGCTTCCCAAACTAGTCTGCAGACTGCTGGTAGCCTGTGAAGAGATGGGAAATGCTCCAGACCTGCTGCAGGAATGTGTTAGGCAGTAAAACATATCATGCTTTCAGTTGTATTAGACAGTAAAATATATCATGATTTCAATTAAACATTTGATGTTACAGGAGCTCAGCAGTCTAAGCCTGAGGATTGAAAACAAGGAGCTTATCAAGGGAAAAACTGCTCCCACAATCCCACAAAGACAAGCCCAGAGGGAATTGTTAGCTTTCTCCAGAGAAGAGCCTGGGAATCAGCTAGCTGTTGATTGCAGAATGATGATTCTGATCAGTCTGTTTCCAGTTTCCTGCATTAGCAAACTGGTCTAGTGCTTTAAGAGACACAAGTATCAATAGCTTCTGAAAAGCCTAAAATCAGCATGTAGAAAGCAAGTCTATCACTGGCATTGAATATGAAGATAGAACTGACATCAGAAAGACTGAGATATTAAATTAGTTTCAGTAATAATAGACATAAAAACAAGGAAAAGACACTGTGAATACAATTATTTGAAAGCCTTGTAAAGTTTATTTAATAATCAAGAGAGAAAGTTGAATATTTCAGTGGGTTGTCACTGTCCACTGTAAAAAATTGCTTTTCAGAGAATACATAAAATTAATTTTGATTATCTTAATAGAAAAAAATAATTAGTTTTAAGAGGTTTTAGACAAAATGAGGAGGTTTGGTGTAATTAGCCCACAGAATGAGCATAAACAGTCTAAAGGTTAACAGTTACCTCTCAGTACCTAGAAAAAGGTGAGACTTTTGAACAAGGATGAGATGCTCAAGGATAACATATCTTCGTAATAGATGAACACAAGAGGAATCAGAGTATAATAGGTCACTTAAAAAAAAAAAAAAAAAAAGCGTGCAAGAAAGATAGCAAACATTATTTTTTTAATTTATTTCTAAGTACCAGAGATATGAATGCTAAAGTGGAAACACAAGATATATTATTTTGTTAAGAACCAGTTGTGGAAAAAATCAGATTTCCAGCTTCGAAAGATAAACTTTGATGGGAAAGGCAGGGAAACAGTCATATTATGTATATTTGGCTTCAATAAAACTATGAGATTGTGAGTTTATATAGGCACACAAGGAGAGCTCTTGAAGTAATTTCCATATAATTAATGCTTATCAGAAACTATGGATATGAGTGTCTATCAGAAGACTACTCTTAGACTTGATCTGTCCCATGCCTAATTCTGTCAGTGATTTAGTTTGATTAGCATAAGTAGTTACAAACTGCAACTGGACCGGGAAAGCTTTTTGAAGATACAGTCAAAAACTAAAATTTGGAGACAGTCTGAAGTCAACAAGATTAAACTCAAGGCAGATGAACATCAAGTGCTTAAAAAGAAAAATAAAGTCCATAAGTGTGACAGTCTGGAAGTCACAGTGCACTTTAAGCTGAATGTAAATAAAAAATCAGATGCCACTATTAAGCAGACAAATCTGAGTAAGCTTTACGCTTACTAATAGGAGAATTAAGGTCTTTTGCTCTCTTGAAATGCCTGTTCTTTGGAGAGAACATTTTAAAGGAAGGTGCAGCGAGCAAGGGTGAGTGTGGAGAGTTAGGGTCTTTTTAATATTTTCAAAAGCCCAGCATCAATCATACACTTACACAGAGTTCAGCATATGTAGCTGTGGCTCTGCAGTACATGCTCAGTTAGGCTGGACATTCTGTAGGTGCAGAACACTGTATGCCACAAATGCAGTAGGCTTGTTCTCATATGTGATGTGTCCTTGCAGCTGGGTTTCAGGACCCTTTCACACTGAGGATTTGGAGGCCTGAACCATAAAATGATATTGCAACTAAAATGTGAACATTAGATGAGAGACTGAGGAGATGACACTTGTGTAGTCCAGCAGACCAACAGACTTGTGTAGACCAACATATGACATGGTAATAGCCTGGCTATCTGTAAAATTTTGTCAGGAGGTGAAGGATGAAAAATCAGGCCATCTAGGAATGTGGTTGTTTCTAAGGTTTGTTACAGGTTTTTAAGAGCATTGTCTAAGCACAGTTTACCTCTGAACAGAGGACGGACTTTGTAGGTTACATAGTTTTGTCCTTAAATTGTGTTTGGTGACTCTCACCCTAGAAAACTTCTCAATCTGCTTTCAAAAGTGGTGAGGCTACACTGTGAATGGTGTGCTCCCATTTACACTTGCAGTTAGTTGTTCTCAAGATGGTGTTTGACACCCATTGCTACCAACCAACAGTTTTTCTAATATGCTATGGAAGTGCTTACATTTTATTTTCCTTCTTAAAGATGGAAATGATTGAAACAGACTGAAAAAAACTAATTTTTGAATGTGTCTGATTTTATAGCAGGCTCCGGGTTATTTATGCTACAGAAATTGCAAAAAGAAATAAGCATTAGTAATTGAAGAGTTTATTTGTGAGCGAAGCTGATGATAACCTCTTCAATCAGGTTTTACAGGGAGTTTTTATATATAAGTTTAATAACAGCACTTGGAAAACCTATCTATATTGCAGTGTAGTGTAAACATATTGATTGAGCTTTAAATGGGTTTCCTTTAGTATTGGTAGCAATTTAGCAGTGGTACCACGGAGTTTTGCACTAATTCTTAATGTTTAAAGGCAGGACAAAATACAGCATATGTTGCTTAATTTGTTCTAGCTGGAGTATTTCCAGTATCTGAGCTAGTTCATTGAAGTTAGCTTTGGCATCTCCACAATTTGTGCTACAGTTCACAGAGTAGAAGTCAAAGCCTAGGAGAAACCAGAAGGAAAACAATTGAAGATAACCAGGTGAGAATAGTTTGTGGGGATTCCCAGTAGGGACAAGTTGTTGCACGTATGCTACAAAACCAACCATATATTACTATTATTTTAAATTGAACTGTACTGTGTTCTGGAGCTCTGCAGTTTTTGTGGTTTAAGGAACTTCTTTGAAACTGTAACAAATAATGACATTGTTTGGTTAGAGAGACAGCAATATTTAACTATATTTGAAACCCTGATTTTTCTTTTCAGTTTTCATTTAAAAAATAGCTTCAACCAATATATATGTGATCAGCCATGTGTTTAACCATGTAAACTTTAGAAGCAAAGCAAGCCCATCAGAATCAGTAGTGATATGTAAGACATGAACTGCAGCTGCCTTTTTCAATTTCAGATTGCACTGCCACTGGTGGGAGACATGGGAGCTATACTGAAGGTAAACATTTTTAAAGATTAAATATCATTATTACAAAAAGCAGGCTTTTTAAACCAAAACGTGCACTTGAAAGTTTCTATAGGTTCAATTCTGACCTACTTGGTTAGCGCAAAACACTTTTGAGATTCTTGTTGATTTTTTGTTTGAGGGGGTAAATACTCAAGAAATGTATTTTACAGGAGTTTTGCAAAGCAGTGTTTGAACAGAATGTGAGGTAGGCAGCGAGTGCATGTTCAGTGCATCCAGTCCACAGTATGAATTCTTGGAAGTATACTCCACTCTTTACTCTACTTGGTAGCATCAATATTGGTAATACCCCAAAAGGAGGAAATAATCTAGAATTTTTAAGGTAGTGTTTTGAGAAATAATAAAATCTGCCATATTCCAAAATGAAAAGTATACTCAAGAGGATTTCTATATGAGAAGCACTCATTGTTTCTGAGGATAGATTATCCTATTCTACTGTTCTTTCTTAATACATGCACTTAAGGTTTATTGACTTTTTCATTCCCAAATCTGATTTCCTTTAAGTCTGTCTTAGGGCTTTTCCCCGCCTCTTTGTATTTGTAATTGTATTTTCTTTCTTCTGTACATGGTCTTCTACCTCTTTCTCAGTTTTCTCTGGTTCTCACTGATTCTTTATGCTTCATTCTTCATTTTTCTGTATTTTGTGGTTAGTACCTCTATCAGATTGTAATTTAGCTGAAAAATGCTTCTCTCAAAAAAGCAGGAATCATCAAATGTAAATTTGAAGCTGGTGAGAATAACAAGTAGCATCCATCTCTGCCTCATCCTTGAAAGGAAGTTGGTTTGCTCAAACCTAAACATGGGTGTGTCTGGGACTAACCAAAATGAGGGCATTTGTGAGTCCTCTCAAAATGAAGCAAAAAAATTTGTTAGCATGGTTTGACTGCGTGAAAGACAGGGAGGGAAACAAGGAAGGCTCTCTGAACACTATTTTTTGTAGAAGAAAAAAGGGACTACGGAGAAGGCTTTGGGGCAAAATGAAGGAATGGTTACAAAGGCAGGAAGGAAGTGGTCTACATGGACCAGACCTTCTGCCTGTGCCACAAAATGGTTATTTATCACTTTACTTTGTGTCTGTTCCTCAGGGTGATCCGGGCATAAGAGGTCCTCCAGGAATCCCTGGTAGAGAAGGGCCAAAGGTAAGTTTTGAAGAGAGTAGTTGACATTGCTTTCTTGCTTGTTAATACTAAAAGGCCAGACTCTTACCTCTGACAGTCTGAACTTTTTTGTCTGATCCCCACCCCTGTAGCATCTGAACAGTTTAAAGCTCCGAACAATCTCTATGGCTCAGCCCTCTTCCTGTGTCAGTTTGCCTTTCCTCTCAGGAAAATGAGCAGAATAGCCTGAGCTGAGTCCCAGGCCGGGATAGTTCTTACATGTCTCACATCCGTTAAAGCTAGCTCAGATTTGACTGTCTAGGAATGAATTGCACCTTTGGGCTCCTTGCTGTGAGTCAGTCACACAAGAATCCTGTGGTGAGGGAGGAAACTTCCCCAATCTCCCTCAACTAGGCAGCAGCTGGACTGCCCTGTACCTCTGCATCTTTTTCCCACGGGAGTAATGCAGCCATTTCTCTGAGACTTGAGTTTCACAGATGGCCATCAAACCTCTCCTTCACTGTAACTGGATCAAATGCCACATGGTTTGGCATACAGATATCCCCTATAGTTGAGTATAATTCCAAGAAAGTATACTTTCTCCATTTGGACAAGCATTTAAGCTGGTTGGTATTAATAACATCTCCATCAGGCCTATTGGCTAGTTATCCTGCTAGGTAAAAGCCACTCATTTCCTTTCCCCTTGACTGGAGGCACATTTTAAAGCCTTCAGGTAGCAATGACACCTTTTTTTCTCTGTCATGCACTATTGCTGTAAGAGCTTCATGCTAGCATATGTTGGATGTGGGTCATACAGTGCCCTACAGAGCATAGAATTCATTGTTCTCTAATAGAAAGTGTTTGTTTGAATGTTGCATTTTCATAGGGAAGCAAAGGTGAACGTGGATTTCCTGGGCTGAGTGGAGAGAAAGGTGATGAGGTAAAATTACTTCATTTCTATAGCAGTTGTTTTCTTATCTGAACCTCAAAAATCTAGATTGAGAATTAAATCCACAGAATGTTATTCAGTTCTTTAAAACTGCTGACATAATAATGTATTGCTGTAAATAGCCCTCAGTTCTGAATTTCCAACAAGATTAAATGATATTACTCAAACAATATCTATCTAATTTTTGCCAGAGAATTTTTGCTCATTTATATGTTTTAAAGCCTCACATACATTTAAATACTAATTTTTGAGAGTATATGATAGAATAGTAAGTAGGCAAATGCCAAATACTTTCAGAAAATGCTTCATATTTTATGAAGTATTTGCTTTCATTGTGTTCCACTTTAGAACTAACTTTCAAAATAGGCAAATACTCTGATGAGAACAGTCATAGCAGCAATTACTATAAAGTGGAAACTGGAAAATGTTTGAAGAGACTAAATTTAAAATACTTACAATATTTTGCATCAAATACTGTATTCTTAGAGTTATTTTTATGTCATTGTGAAGAAGTAAAAAGAGTCATGTGACTTGTGGTTATGAATCCAAAATAGTCATTATAGCTTTAATTTTAAATTTAATTTTAGATTTTTGCAATTAACAGCTCAAGAGCAATCTCTGTCAGAAGAAACAAAGAATCACCAAAGCAGAAGCTATTAAACCAATGGATCTGAGTAAACAGACAAATTTCCTATTGACCTTAGTCAGCTGAAGGAGTTAAAATAAGTAGTCTGTTGCAAAATATTTGGTGAACACTTCGAAATTCCAAAATACTTCACCTGGGAAATGTTACAGGATTTTAAAGCTTATTGATTGAGGGGTTTATAGTTCATTATGAACGTTCTTTGGTACTAAGGCCATAACATAATAAAAATTTATAACAATAGTAAAATGAGAATAATTTTCAAAATAATCTGTGTTCATCAGGATCTTTGCCTTCCAAAAGTAAACATTTACATGAAGAAAAAAATAAAAACAGCAAAAACATTAGATAAGTATTCCTGTTTTGTCCCAGAATTTAACAGATTGTCAGACTTAACTATCATCCTTATTTTTCCTGTTTTTGCACAGATCATCTGTGGAGCTCATTATGTCTTTGCTTCTTAAAAGCAAGTACCTCCTGTGGTTGGATTTAGAACATCTATGATTCAACCTTAGCAGTCTGAGGCACTAGCAAAACAGTTTTGACAATTCATAAACTATTTAACTGCTGAGAATCAAGTGAGATATTAGAGACAATTAGGAAGTTAGTAAGGGATAGGCAAGATTATAACTGGCAGTTACATTTTTTTTAAAGGACTCCAGAGTAAATCAATTCTAATTTTTTTTTAATTGATTCAGTAGGGTTCTGTGCTGTGTTAGGAAGTTAGCTATTCACATACTTCTTCACTGTGTGATAGCTGGTTAGCTGCCTTAGCTCTGATATATTCAGTGTTTAGCATAATTTTTATTACTTGGTTGGCATGGAGATGGGAAGAGATATTAAGAAGCCCACCTGAAGCTCTTTGAAATAGGCTCATTAACTTCCATGTGCTTTCAAATAGCCCTTTAATCTTTGTTGAAGCTTAGCTCTTCCTTTTTAAAACATTCATTTTGTTCAGGAGAGGGTTTTTCTAACATCAGTAATAAGAATTACAGAAAACCTTCCTTTGGCTTCACTTTAATTTTCAAGGTGAGTATACCATCAGAGTAAAGTAATCCACAATGAGCAGAGAGCACATTAGCAGTTGGATTTGACACTGAGACACTGCAGAGGTGGATCAATGTCCTCTGTGTGCAGCAGCAAGAAGGGGAAATCAATATGTCTTCATCTCCACATGTTTCTTGATTTATTCCTGTCTGAAGTTTTTCCTATTTCAGGGCTCTTGACCTCTGTGGTTTTCCTGACTCCCCCCTTAGCCACACTTGTTTAAACACTGCATTTAACATGAGAAATACACCTTTTCTGAGATGATTCCTCCTGTCATAGGACAGGCACCCTGTGCAGATAAAATGGATCACTGCAGAGAGGGACTTATTTCTGCTTGTGGATTATAGGCGGAGCTGAGAGCAATTAGCTCTCATTAGCACCTGGTTTTCACATGTGTAAGATTGTGCCTAAGCCTGGTGTGGCAGAGGAAAGACTTCAGTGAGGTGCAGTCTTTTCTCAAATCCTGCCTGTGTCAACTGTAGTAAGTTGCACACCTGGATGTTTACTAAGTGAATACCAGAATCCATCCATTTCCAGGCAACCAAATAGAATAAGAGGTGGAAAGTAGGTCATTAAATACTATGAAAAGTGTCATATTGTGTTATCAGAAAAGTAATATCTATAAATCAGACCACACCATTGCCTTTAGATAGCATCAGGTAACATTGAGAAGACATCTTCTCACCAGCAAAAAAACCCCCAACTCTTAGTGATAGAAAATAGAAAATTAATCCCTAAGGAAAAGCCAGGTGTCCTGCTCTTATCTGCACAGCTCAAGACACAAAGATATGCAGGACATAAGCTAACAGTGTGAAAGGCTGAAGGACAGGTGTTGTTTATCAGTCAAGCAAGTATCAAGTCAAGCCTCTAACCTTGTTCAATGATAAACCCTTAATTGCATAGTGAGGCTTTTTTTCATTCCTAAAAATAATGCCAACTTTTCAGATGAAAATGCACTTTTATATAGTTGTAATACTGCTGGACATGTCAAATATAAGTTCTTTTTCATGTGTAATTTCCAGGGCCTACAAGGTGCTCCTGGACTGCCTGGTGTACCGGGACCCAGTGGACCATCTGTAAGTGTGTGGTATCACTTGTGATCTGATCTATCTCTGCAGAGGTTATCTAGTAAAATTCCACATTCTCAGTTTCTTGTCCCTTCTTTTGACTTTTTTAGGAGAGTAATAATAAAATCTTACCCATACTGGCTCTAATAAAATAAACTCTGTTGTGAGTTGTTGTTAACGAAAATACTGTCATTGTCTGGGCTTAAAGTTTATGTAACTTGAGTTTGGAGACTCTGTGAGGTTACATGTCTTACGATGTGCAAACTTGCAGTTAATTATGCATTTGTACTGAATTTACTGTAATAATCTAAAAATAACTCCAACTAGGCATTCTGAAAACATTTAACACTGAAACCAAGTAATCACAGTTTTTAGAAGTATGAAAATAAGCTGACAATATTTAAAGTCACTGAAAAATACCATTTTAAATACTAGTATTTATGGGAAAACTCCTCTTAGATTTTTTTTTAGTTTTATTTTCTAAATAATGGATGAGATCCTAGTAATTAATCTTATCACTATTCATTCCTAGGTTGCTGACATTACTAGTGTTTCCCATCTTTTAAAAACTCTAACACATTTAGGGCATTTAATCTGGAATATGTAAATTGGCATTTTAGCAGTAAAGCATGTTTTTTAGCAATGTCGAGAGGTGCAAGTTAAGGTCAGAGCATTTAGTCTGCCAAGGTGAAAATGCAACCACAAACAAAGTTTTTGCCCTTCAAAGGGCTTATCAGTGGGACACAGCTGTTTTATCAAACAGAATAGAAATATTTAAACCAGGAGGTAAAAAATAATTAGTTTTAAATGACCTTCTAAATCGTGTAAGTTTTAAAACCTAAGTTGCAGTGCAAAATACTGTGTTTCCTTGTATCTTAACTAATGTAAACCCATACTGTGTTGTGCAGGGAGTCACAGGAAGACCTGGGCATCCTGGTCCAGCAGGGTCAAAAGGCGAAAAGGTATTCCTTCTTTTTAGTCCGGATAATGACCTATGAAGTTTTTCCAACCCTGGTACACTCCTGTGTTTTGGAGGTTTTTATAACACAGAGTGCAAACAGTAACTCGATGTACACTTTTGAATGAATTTGTCTTTATGTCTTAATACAAGTACTTTTCCTAAACAGCGACACGCAACTGGACTTATATTTTGAAACACAGTCCTTGTGGTGTATGTAAATTGCAAGGAATGTACCCTAAGTATGACATAAAATTTAGGAAAGTGAAAATACGTTTACGAAATAAAATATGACAAGGTAATACTAGGTCTGCTTTTCATTCTTTTACCAGTATGTTAGTCAAAAGGAATTGCATACTTTAAAAGTGCTTCATAAGTACTGAAAGCTATTTACTATAAGTTATTCTGCAAATATAAGTAAGCTTACTTTAATTTACACTGTTATAAAACTCCTTTTAATCAATATTTTATGTGCTTTTTATCAGGCGCTCAACATTATCCATTGTAACTAAGAGGTGAAGTGCATTTGTCGGGCACGTCAGATCAGTGCAATACAGCAGACACAAACTCAGTTTGCTGCAAAATAGTTTCTGGGACAAGCTCTACATTTTGTATATGAATACACATTTTTGAAGTTTTTTTTCAGCTTTACCTGGAGCTTTCCAGTCATAGCATTAGTCATCAATGTATGTGATCTTACTGATACTCTGCAGAACCTTGACTCCAGTATGCATAAGAAAGAAAAATTTGTTCTGTAAATCTCTGAAATTATTTCAGTATAAAAGCTGATTGAGAGCTGTCTCCTTGTAGACCCTAATAGCATAAAAATTACCAGACTTATTTTCTTTTAACATAACCAAATTCAAAACACAGGTCTCTGTTAGTTCTGTGCTTATAGTTCACACTTGGGTGGGAATGAGAAGCCACTGCTTTACAACTGGTGTCTCATCAATAAAAGGGCAAAAGTCAGACGGCTGAAGAGTGATGAAGTAAACTGAAATGCAGGAAGAGTAATTCCCTCCTCCTTCCTTCACATGGGAAGGATCCAATGGATATTACATGGTCACTTCTCAAAGCAATCTCATGTTTGAGAAGTGATCATATAATATGCTTTTTAAAGCATAGTATTTTGTCTCCCCATGAAGAGCTACAAAGCACTATTTAGAGGCTGCTATCCACTAGCAGTACCATTTGGAAATGATGCTACCATAGTTGCAATCAAATGTTTGTATATATCTGATGGGCTAATTTTTGCTCTTCAGCACTTAGCTTGACTTTTCCCACCTCAATAATTTTAAATATTCAGCCTTATGTCTCATTTACATAAGTTTAATAAGATCTGATTCAGTGAAAAAATCTGAAAAATACTTGTTCCAAATTATGCAGTATTTTAACTGAATCATAGTGATGAGGTTTTTAAAAGATCTTGTTTGGGAAATTTGATGCTGAAACCTTTAACTCTACACTGTTCAGAGACCCAACCATTCTGCTGAGGCAAAAATTCAAGAAGCTTTTTGGTTTTTTAATATAAGCACATCAGAACAGACTGCAGATACAGGTAACCATAGGTGAATATTTTACAGTAAAAACCAGAACTATATTCATTATATCTCTTTATAATGATTTTTATTTTTATTCAATGTATGTGTAAATAAACTAAATGAACTTCTGAAACTCTAGCTCTGGTATATTGAGCTGTGAATGATCAACTGAGCACTGTTTTTTGCAATATAGTATAAAAAGCATGAAATTAATATTAACTTTTATATGCCAGTTGCTTAGAAATTTATAATAATTTAGTTTTTCCTTCCTCTTCTGTTATATATGAAGTGTTTGACAACCCAGATTACCACTAATAATTTGCCACAAGGAAGTTACTGCATATAAAGCATCAAATAACTAACAAAATAAAGAAGTAGTATAAAATAGTGATTAATAATTTCCCTAAAGCTTAAGCAGGAGCTGGGCAGGATAATTTATTCTTAATGTTACCTGCTCATATTTACTGTATCTCTTGTTTATTGTCATTATGGTCATCGTAGCTTGGGTATGAAATAGATCTGGACATCACTTACAGTAAATGAGTTACATGAATCTCTTGCTGTACCTAGGGTAGTGAAGGTTCTCCTGGGAAACCTGGACCACCTGGGCCTCCGGTGAGACATTACGTTTTATATTTTCAATGTTACATTAGGAACAATATACCCATCAGTAAAATGTAATGTAATATGAAGAACTGACTGTCAGTCTAGTGTGTATTAATATTGCAAGAAGAAAACATCTTCACAGAAGGTTTCTGTGTTCCTTTTTCTTCTTGTAATTCATCACTGAGTGAGTTCAGGTCACCAAAGCCATCCTAGAAACTTGGTCAAATGAGTTAGTCCAATAACTTAGACTCCAAGGTTAATTTAGGCAGCTTGGATGCCTGAGATCAGGCAACTCAGAGAACCTGAGGGAAGTCCATGGAGCTGGTAATATTAACTGGATGATAAATAGATGATAAATTAACTAGAATAGTACCTAACAAAATTAATTATGTAGAATTTTAATAATAATAAATATCGAAACATATATCTGGCTTCATAAAAAATTCCCAAGCTGCATTAGGATGTATCCTAGGTTCTTACTGAAATGTCTGGAATCTTTGAAAAAAATTGGAAAATTTATCCAGAACAAAAATGATACCACAGCTTTGCTGAGCTACAGGGCTTGAGCAGGGCAAGAGTTCTGACATTTACTTGGGTTTTGTTTTAAAGGGCACACCTTACAATGAACGGAATGGAATGAGCAGCTTATATAAACTCCAGGTAGTTCTCTTTGATGTTTTCTTGCTCTTGTTGTTTGGTTTGGGTTTGTTGTTTTCTTTCACTCAGCACCTAATTTTGGCCAAACTCAACTTTTAAACTTGCTGTTACAGGGAGGTGTGAGCGTCGCTAGTCATCCAGGCCCACCAGGACCTCCAGTAAGTATTGACAGAAGGTAATGTCAGATAGATAATTAACATAGTAACAGAGGGATTGGCTAGTTGCATGCAGGTTTTGTAAGCGGCTGGACTTAATACTGATTTAAAATGTATTATCAATGTATGCTCATAATGCAGTAATCAAAAAAAATAGGATGATTTTGTGGAATTATTCTTTTTTTTAAATGTGTTTCCACTTCTTCATTCTTTGCAGGGTCCAAAAGGAGATCCTGGCACAGTGGTATGTATGGGTTTTTTTGGAGATGATAGAGAATTCCCTAAGTAGTTCAACACATGATCCTAGTCACAAGGGGAGAAGAGTCCATTACATTCTTTAGCAGTAGTTTACCTCCTGCAGAATCAGTACATCTGAAAAAGCCTTTTTAATTGCCAGTTTTGCAATTTCTGATAAATAATTCTAAGTGATAATATAATTAATTACTGTACATAGTAGTAACTGTTTGTGAATTCATCTCTGCTGAGCTGACCCTGTTTATATTTGAGGATAGAGGATGTGTACTGCAGGAGGTAAAGCCCTTACTTGGTACAGGCCTATAAGAAATAAGGGTAGAAAATACCTTAAGAGCTATTACATTGTTCTCAACATTACATTTGAAACTGTGCAGGGAGAAGCAACAATGTGCTACCTTATGACAGCTGGTATCAGCTAGAAGTTGATGTTTCCTTTGGAAATGGCATGACAGGGAGTTACTGTGTGATCCAGTTGCTTCTGTGAGCAAGATGATGATCATGGAAGCCACTTACACCTTTCAACTCTACAGTTTGACATTCAGAAGCAGATCTATTTAACTTTTTGGTATTTTTGCCCTTAAGCATTGTGTTCTGTCCTTTTCACTTCATCTTTCTTTCAAGTTTATGAGGAGGCAAGACAACTAGTGGAAAAATCTTGAGCAGTTGCATGGGCTAGCATAGTGCTAGCCCCCAGCAGGATGTATATCCAAATCCTTACTGGGAATACTTTTTCCCCAAAGTCCCTGACACATGATGTGTCTTGCTTTTATAAGAAGTTTGTGATCAGCTTGCAATTTATCACTACAGTTCCTATCCTAGAAGATGGCAAAGTTGAAGCTTAAAGGTATTGCATCTTGAAAACTGAATGAAAATACCCAGAGGATAATGGTAAAATGTCACAACTGATGTTTTAGCCCAAAGAAGTATGATTGTATCAAATGTCATTTTAAATTGATGTTGTTTTTAAAATTGAATAGGTCCTTTCACATCAGTTAAAATTTCACTGCATTTGTGTACTTCATTTTCAAGTCTAAGGAATATCACATAACTACATCATGATAGTTACAGCACTAGAACACTGTAAAACAGCAAAACAGTTGCATCCACATGGTCAGTGTGGTAGAACTGTGTCCTCTGTTGAACTTCAGGCAGTAAGACTGAATCAGACTGAGTACCATGTGTCAGCTAATGGAAATCGATGAGAAGAATCTTCTGATAAAAGTGGTAGAATGTTTCAACGTCGCCACAAACTGCCCTGGTCTGAACACATCAGGCCACAATATTTAGAAGATGATGATGAATCTCTTCTCCTGTGGAAGGATTCTTCTCTTCTGAGTCCATATCATTGAGTCTTTCTCTTCAGTATCAGTCCAAGACTACTGAGAAATGTCTCTTCTCAGAAAAGCAGCATGTCTTCCTGTACCACCATCTACCTCCTGCTCCAGAAGCACAATCTCCCAGAGTTCAAGTGTTTAAAGTGAGATCTGCCAGAGACATGAAATCCAAATGAGAATTTGCTGTGGCTTTTGATTTAACTGGGAATTGCTGAAATACTGGAATTGTTGGCTGTCACTAAAACCTCTGTGCTAAATTATCTATCAACTTTCTTTAAAAACAAAACAAAAACAACAACAACAACAAAACAACAACAAACAACAACAAAAGGAAAACAAACAACAGTTAAAAGGGCCTTCCCACTCTTCACACTGAATTGATTTCTCCAGTGAAGTGGTGTTTTCTGGTCTTCTTTCAAAACTTGAACACCTACACTGGGACCCAGTCTGCCTGTCCCTTGCTGCAGAGTGCTGTTAGGAAACAGAGCTCTCTTGAAACAAGGATGTGTCTGCAAAACTGCACAGAATTGCTTGGAGATTGGTTCTCTGGTTGACAACATATGTTCACAACCCAGGGCTCCAGCACCTGGAGTTGCTTTATAATCGACCTTGGCTTGCAAGAACACTTGATGGGAGTCTGAATTACATTTTTCATCAAAATCAAGACCATTAATCCAAATGTTTACACAGTGCCTCTGGAAAAAGCTTGACTTGCAGATCACTAAAACAGGGTATAGAAAATCTGTTCAACTGGTAACCGGCTAGCTGTTTTACTAATCTCAAGTTAAAAATCTGCTGTTGCTTGCTGTTCAACATTTCTCATGTAAAATATGGAAATTCTAATCTATGCAATCCTTTTTAATTTAAAAAAAATAATATTAGGGAGACCCAGGACCAATGGGATTACCAGGACTGGAAGGACTCCCAGGAGAGAAGGTAGGACTCTTAGAAAAGAATTTCAAGCTTTTGATATTCATTTCTAAATATGACAAAGCACAAAAAGTTCAGCAGAGAAATGAAAAAAATCTGAAAAGATGCTGCCAATGGAAACACTGATTTTGCCCAAGTCTTTGAGAATAGTGAGTATTCTTTTTTTTTTTGCAAAATTGAATATTTATTCAGCTTTTTTGAATTACAGATTATTCAATTAGTTTACACAAAAAATAGTTTACTGAAACCTTTTTTTAATCAAAAAGCAAGGTAAATGAATTTTTTTTCTCTCAGTATCACCATACATCACTCTTATTTGTGCATAGAGTGGGGAGTGACATGATACAAGGTAGGTGTCTACAATAGATATTTGAATTACATGAGAATTTAGGACTAGCCTAATTTCAAAAGGAAAAAACACAGGGAGATTTTACGTGTCAAAATCAGACAAATTGGGGACAAGTATTAAAGGAAATAAACAATGGAGCAGATTGTATATACAAGCTGAGTGCTTAGCCCTTTCCCAAATAAAAATATCCTTCCCTTAACTAAATTTGGTCAAAAATTCACACTTCTGATGCAAAAAATTGAACAGAATCCTGGAGTCAGCCTTCCTGTCCCAACAGTATAGTGTGTGCTCCTTTTTAATTAAGTTATTAGGTACATTTGTGTAGCAGAATACCATCTTCCACAGACAGTGTTGGCTGTAACTTTATGGTAATTTAATTAACTGGTTTCAGAACTTTGTGTACTCAGGGTGAAATGTACCTTCCTTCAGCTGTGCTGATGCAGTGGTTTGTGTAGCCATGCTGCGAATCACATGGCTGAAAGGACTAGAATAGCCCTCAAAAGAAAAAAGCTGCAAGAGAAGCGCTGGGAATTTCTAGCTGCACTATCATAGCTGCTAAACATCACAATACAAATTATGGAGGCAGAATAACAGCTGGGACAGAGTGCAGTGCTCCAGTCAACATGCCCTGCTGCAGATCCTCAGTGCTCAAGTGTTCCTACGGAGCACATTATGTTCCTCACTTGAGGGGTGAACTTGCACTGACTTCTTTTAGCCTCCAGAGCAAGGGGGGTTGAAGTGTGGCCTGTAAGCAAGCTTCTTCCTCTGGACAAAAGGTCAGACATTTAACTTGTCATCTGTCTAGACTTTGTATAGTGGAGTAAAGAATTTGCCATTACCAGTGTTATTATTACACTACCTGAACAAGATCCTGAGAATGAGAAAAATCAGCATTAGGTATAAGAACAGAAAGCAGAAATCCCAACATCTCCTGGGGCTTTTATGCACAACAGAATGTGGCTGTAGCTGTGTTGGCACAGCTTTCGCAAAACAGTCCTGAAGTAACATAAACTCATCTCACAAAAATATTTTCCTGTTATGGCTTTAACTGTGTTGGGGCTTTCCTGACATGGTTATAGGAACTAGAATCCTGATATTTTTCTTACACTTTTAACAAACAGTACACTAGTAGACTGCAGTGTTACAGACTAAACCAGCAGTAGGTTAGGGCAAATCTCATTGTGAAGTTTCACCACTGGTGAGCTCCATCCAACCCCTTTGGCATACACTCCTCACAGGAGAGAAAGATGAGTTTGTGCACACACCTCATCAGGTCCAGCACAAAAGTCATTGTCTCAGCTTAAAGTGTAGATGAAGGTGGCCATGTGCTAAAGGGAGCAACTTTGCCCAGAAAAGACCATGGCACAAGCACATTGAGGATGCTGGCTTTGCAGAAAGTAGATCACAGGGTAGTAGGAAGGTGAAAACTCCTTTGAAAGGTGCATCTTAAATATGGGGATGTAGATATGATAGTAAATTACCCTGTGTGAATTTTGGTAATTGTCATGACCACAAATTATAATTATTTGGAAAACTACAGAGAAGTCCAAGATATTCCATCCTTTTTCAAGGAAGGCCTCAAGCAGAGTATAAGAAATAGCATGGAAATGATGACATTATACAAGAGAACCCAAACAAAGGATTTAAGTTATTTGCTCAAGTCAGTAAAATGAGTCAGTGGCAGAACTAAGTATCTGCATTTAGCAGAGCTTGGCTTCTGTCCTCGTTTTCAGTTCACTGAATAATCCTTCCTCAGATTTTACTGTGAATCCACAAACAAACTCCTGGTTTGAGTCTTACCATTAAGTATAAATTCCTTTCCTTCAGGGTGACCATGGACCAGCTGGCACACCAGGAGTAGCAGGGACACCGGTATGTATGTTCTTGAAAGAAAACTCTGTTACAAGGAACTGAAAAAAAGGTCAAACAAAGTGCTGAGCTGTAATCTCAGCCACTGTCTGTGGGACACCAGTGCCTGGCTAATGCTTTATAAGCAAGTTTGGAAGTGATGTGTTTTTCCTAAAGAGATCAGAGCTTTAATACCACTGAGGATTCATATTTTTATTAAAATGATGGGAGAGAATGGTGTAACTACATGATAAATCTGGAGTTTGAAGCTGCATATGCTTAGTTAAGAAATTTAATCTAGATAAAGACATTTTCTGTGTTCCTGGGCATGCACAAATTCCTGAGCATCTTTCTATCACAATCAAAAATGAACATTAGTTATTGCAATCCATGAGGATCTGCATATCAAGTCGATCAAATATTTGCCTTAGAGGAATGCTTTGTCAGCTGTTTACACGTGATATTCAGAGAAATTTCTGAAAGTCATCCAGAAACTTTGTTGTAGATGAAAGTAAATCTAACTAATGATAAATTGAAATTATAATAATTCATTTGTGTTCCTAAAGGAAATGAAAAAAAACTTTTCTTTAGATTGCATTCACAGTTTAATAAAAAAGTGCATCCATATTTCAGGAGGCAATATGGAGTTATTTATATGCAAATACATTTATTATTAAATTTGGGCAGCTACCAATCCATTCAGGAGCCGTTTTGATATTATAAATATGTGTTTCATTAAATAAAGAGAAGTTGTGTCTATGCATTCCCATTGCCATTAGCCACTGATTTAGTCTATTTACTGTAAGTTCCAAGAGAGAACATCAGCTTAAATAGCTTAATTTAGTTAAGTTCTCCTAAAACAAAGTAAAATTGCACATTTAAGAGGAAAAGTGTTTCTGTGAATTTTATAGCCTATGTAAGAGTTTCAAAGTTTGTTGCTCTGAAATATATTTCACAGTGTGAATCAATAATGCAGTAGCCAGTTAGGATGACCACCAATTGTTCATTCCCTATGTATTTCCCACAGGATATGTTATTCTTGTTGCTGTCTATTCTAGCTGGATATGAAATATTTAAGGAGTTCCCTTCATTACTGATGGAGCTCCATTCTGCTGATTACATTTAATTCTGATAAAATACACTGAAATAAATGATTTGCTGTAACATTTTATGCCAAGCAGTTTTAATAAATAAATTAATAGAGAAGAGTTTTTTAACTATATCCACATATCTTACTGGAAGAGAATTTGTCCTCCTTGGCTGGCATTATTCCCTAGGTCGACTAGTGGACCATTTTTCCCCATTCAGAGATATTAACATCTCATCTTAGCTTTGTCTTTTTGCTGAGTGAGATTGTCAGGGAAGCTTGGACTGAGATTCTGCAAGAATTGCCAGCAATGCATTTTCTCAGCTCAAATCCTCAGTCCTTTTGTTCCTGAAGTTGTCACTGGCATTGATGTGTTAGATCCCTCACTTGTACAAGTTATTTGAGGATCTGGCCAAAGGGTATTTCCAAGGAATATAGGTTCAGGGTTATAGATTCTTGTCTGAGGCTGACTCAGATAATTTGCTAAAAGCAAGGCATCATTTAAGAAAATACAGGCAATTAAAATCACTGTCTAAATAATAAGATGAGAAAAGATTGTGAATTCTGACAATAAACATGGCCAAAAAAAACCAACACACAAGCCACACACACACAAAAAAAAAAAAAAAAAACACAAAAAACCCCCCCACCAAAATCAGCCCAAACACTCCTGCCTGTAATGATGAAAAAATTATGAGATAAGGACCATCAAAGGAAATTGTATAATATCAGTATGGCTGTTTCCAAATAATAGCTATCAATTAAAAAAAAAACCAACAACCCATACAAATACACAAATTTCTTGCTCAAAGAAGGGATGGTGTTGAGTCAATAATAAAATCACTCAAAAAAAAGGAAAAAAAAAATCTTTATTTCACATATACAGTGATAAACTTTGACTGTGACTTCTCAAAAAGAAAATAATAGTTTTGTAAAAGAGAATCTCATTAAGACATTATCTCAGCATTCAGAAAGGAAGAAAAAGACCAAGTGATTGAGTTACGTTGTACAGAAGAGCCAGATTAGCATGGCACAAATATTTTTAAATTCTGGTAAAATATTTATTTTTCCTCCCTTAAAGCATTTAATGAGTAGTAATATGAATATTTCACTCAAATATATATCCTCCTATTTTTTACCTAAGATAAGTTTTGCTTCCTTGTAATTTGAATTTTTAATGGTCTCTTTTTGCAGGGAAAGCCAGGACCTCCTGGGTCTCCAGGGATACCAGGGGAACCAGTGAGTACAGATTTGAGTTCTGGGTTCTATGATAATACACAAATTTTTCAAACACTGAATGTGAGATTCTACATGCAGATTTATACGTGCATTTTCTTCTTTCTTAGGGTGAAAGAGGACCTATAGGAGATATAGGCTTCCCTGGGCCAGAAGGGCCACAAGGAAAACCAGTAAGCATTTTTGTTCTGAATATGTATGTTCATTAGAAAATTATGTCTTAGTTTATCAGAAGTCACAAAAGAAATGAGATTACAACTTGCTTTGTGCTAGGCTAGGTAAAACATGAAGAAAACTTAGAGCTAAAGGGCTCAATAATAACTATGCAGTCAAGAATTCCTGGTGTTGTGACGTTTTAATAGTTCATTTTTACTGAGATATTTCCTTTAGAGGTCTTACTATAGTCCTCTGGATCCTGTTGATTTAAAGGCCCTCTCGTATTTTTTCGGAAGGACAATATTAACCCAGACATTCAAAACAGTCTATGAATGATGGGATGACAAATAGATTCTCAGTTTCAGTGGGATCAAGAAGCATGTGCTTCATGACTGAATAAACTTCATGACTCTGCTGTGTACAGGTGATGCAACACTGCAGCTGAAGCATTTACTGTTCACTTAGGATATGTCTACTCTGACCTCTTTAATATGTGTGACAGCTGTGTAGTCAGCACTGTCCAGTGAGCTGGTTTATATTCTAGAAGTGGTTCAGCTAGGATAGTGCAGAATTCATTATCTCCCCCAAACCTTGGTGTTCTGGGGACAAGCATGAGAATCAGACCATTTCTGTTTGTCAGCACATCTCCACCTTATGTTTCTGTCTTGAAAGGAAAGACAATTCCTGTAACCTCAGCAGCAAATTGGCCCAAGGTGCCTAAACAGTGCAGAACTCCATGTTACAGTATGAGAAGGAAGGAAATATTCCTGACACATTTGCTCATGCAAGTCCTTCTTCTTACTCAGTGAAACAGCAGTGCGTTTGCTGCACATGCAAATCTACATGTATCCTAGTAAATTAAACAGTGGCAGAACATGAATCTTGCAATTACCTGGCATTGTGCATTTATTAACATACTCTCTGATGTTATTTTGGCCCGTGCCCACTAGGACTCTTGAATAATGCCACATTCCAGTTTTGGGGATAACATGGGCCTGTGACTGTTTCCTGCAGGTGGTATGAATGAGACCACCCTCTTTTGGGAAGGAAATATGCTTAACCCAGGAGATGGAGCTGTGACATGTCACAAGTCCTAACCACCAAAGAGTAGATCTGGCCACTTACTATGAAGTTCAGCAGAAGGATAATAAGGCATCAGGGCTAATACATAGAATATCAGAAATCTTTTCTGTGTTTGTATAATGACTAGCTGGGGATGGAAAAGTGCATGTACAGGGTCATATTCCACATTTGCAGAATTTCTATATAACTTGTCATTTAAAGTTGTGTACTTATTAAAGATGATACACATCTTGATGCTGGAAGACTTGTTTTGCTCTGCTCTTAGCTGATTTTTAATATGCTTGCAGTTCAGTGTTATCTTGAGCTCTGTTTTTGCTTGTCTCAAGATTATTTGCATTTCTATATTGTAGCAACTCAAACTGCTGCTTCTGCAGCTTCATAACATGTACTGATACCAGCACTAAAGGTTGAGCTTTACCCTTTGTAATTTTAAAATGCATATACGTAAGCATATTTATTAATTAGTTTTTTAATTCTTTTTTTTTAATAGGGAATCAATGGAAAAGATGGTTTGCCAGGCCCTCCGGTAAGAAAACGTGCTTTTGCATACTAGTTTATTTTATTCTTCACAGATACCATAGCTGTTAATCTTAGGCAGTTGCTTTCAGTTCTGCTAACAGATTAATATACAACAAAGCCTTTAGGTGTTTATCTTTTTTCAAAAACAATTTTTCAGGGTGCTGTGGGGAGACCAGGAGACAGAGGACCCAAAGGAGAACGTGTAAGTCCCTTGCTTTAATAACCTTTTTTCTTTTTACTGAGCACCTCATCAGTGCATATTTTACAAGGGAAACCAAGACATTAATTCTCTGTGAACTTCAAGAAATTACTTAGCTAAGAGGTCTAGTCCAAGACACCACTTTAAGGAATTAGAATTGAATTGGCTTGTGCATTGAGAGGAAAACCACTTTGTAACATAGTTGGCCTCAGTAGGTTGAAAAGTAGCAAGTAGCTAATCCTCTTGTGATGCTGCCAGACTTCACAAAAGCTATAAAGGTTGTCCTGTCACCCCTGGGATCTCTGTGTGTTACAAACACAAATCATGTTTTATATAAAACAAGTCAGTT